TTGCTTTCCCACCTTACCAAGGCCCCCCGTTAGACTTGGGGGCCTGATGCAATCCTGAGACTGATTCTGAAGCCCTTCTCAGCCAGTGCAGGCTGCTCCCCATTACCAGGGCCCTCACACTCCACACTGTGGGTGCTGACATCCACAGAACACAGTGATTTGTAGAAAAGCGTTTTTCATCAAAATTTTCATTTATCATCCTAACAATTTATGTGTCACAGCAAAAATGCCATGACTTTTTTTTCCTTTCTTTTTTAAGTAAGTCTTGCCATTTTGCCTGGGTTGGCTTCAAGCTTCAGATCCTCCTGGTTTCCCTCGTACGTAGCTGGGATTACAGACATGCACCCCAGCCTTGAGCTCCTAGTGATCCTTCTGCCTCAGCTTTCTGAGTCCTGGGATTAAGGTGTGCACCATGTGTGGCTCCTTTCTCACCATTTTCTAATAGTTTTCTTTTTAACTGATCATTTTTCACTAGTTTTGGTTTAAAAAAAAAATACAAGGTACAGTAGCACAGGCCTGTAATCCCAGCCATGAGGAGACTGTGGCAGGAGTTCAAGGCCCACCTGGGCAACTTAGATCCTATCTCAAAATTTAAAAGTAAAAATAAAAAGGGGCAGGCCAGGGATTTAGCTCAGTGGTTCTGCCACCTGCCTCGCAAGCGTAAGGTCTTGAGTTTGATCCCTGGTACCAAAAATAAACAAAATAAAAAGGGGCTGGAGATATAGTTTATTAGTATAGAGCACTTTTTTAGAATTTGCAAGGCCCTGGATTCAATTTCTAGTACTGCAGATAAATAAATAAATAGGCAATCTGAGTGCGGTGGTGCATCCCTGTGATCCCAGCACTCAGGAGTATGAGGCAGGATGATTGCCATGAGTTCAAGGCCAGCCCGAGCTACATAATGAATTCAAGTCCTGCCAGAGCTGCCTGAACTACATGATGAGACCCTGTCTCAAAAAACTAACCCTACCAACCAACCGAATAAACAAACAAACAAATAAACAAATAAATAAATGTAATTTGAAGTCCTGTTAGAATCCTGATGGAAAGTCCTGGTTGAGACTAGGACCCTTAAAACTAGTAGCACAGTGTGTCCAGTAGATGGCATAAGCAGCCAAAAGCACGTGTAGTAAATTCTACACCAAATTGCCTCTTGGGAGGTGTAATTCAGTGTAAAAAGCAATTCTTTGAATTTACACTCTAATGTAAAAGCCATCCATTAATAATGGATTAAAATATTTAAAATTGGTAAAATGGTACTAAAAAATGTTGCAATCTTACCAACATTCACTCTGTAGGGGCTGTGCAGGAGCCAGGGGGTAGAGCTGTGCTGGCCATGGGTTCAATCCCAAGCACCAATAAAATAGACAGGGTTGGCAGTTTAGCTCAGTGGTTCTGCCGCCTGCCTCACAAGTGCAAAGTCCTGGGTTCGATCCCCGGTACAAAAATAAATGAATAAAATAAAATAGACAAAGGTAATAATGGAGTTTATTAAATTTCTTTATTTCTATTTTTAGTGTATGTGCTGCCAAAACAAAAATGAAATTCTTTATGTCTGATGCTACCGATCAAACCCAGGGCGTTGTGCATGCTGGGCAAGTGCTGTTCCCCTGAGCTACATTGTCAGTCCAAAATCAGAGAATTCTCAGCAGAAAGTCACATCAGTCTCCACTGCATGAATGAACGTACCTGTACATTTAGTCATTCGATACCTACTTGCAGTGTATGTCTCCAGCACTATGAAGTCACGAAGAACTGGGGTAAGGATGGAATCACAGGGTCTCTTACACATTCTGGTCCTCTTTATCCTCATTCTCCTTTCCTTCCCTGCTACCCTTACTCAAGTCCACACCCTCCTCCTCCTCCTCCTCCTCCACCTCGCTGCCTTTCTCTGCTGCGTGAAGAGAGCAGTTACACCAGAAACTACCCGGGAGGCAGAGGGCAGAACACCAGCCCCGCCCGTGCGTAGATCCTGCATAGGCAGGAAGTAGCAGGAGAACCCAGAAAGCCTGCTGGAGGTTATCACAGCGAGGAGGAACCTGCCAGGAACTCAGCTGCCTCCTCGCCACATGCAATATCAGAAAGACCCGAGGCTGAGGGACAAAACCGAACTGGATTTCTCCACTTTTATAAATGATGTCATTGAAGACTAGGACTGAAAGAAGTTTCCGAGTGAACTACACTTCATACTATGAATGCTTAACAAAAAACACATCGAGCAGACGGGAAATGGGAACGTGCTAGACATTGAGGGAAATACAAGTACACTCCCTGTCCTTGAGGTTATACTCTTAAAACTGCTAATACGTCCGGGCTCTGTAACAAGAGTAGGGATGTCAAATAAGTGTTGATAGTGTTGGTGTTTGCTGCTCTGAAGTGTGAGGAGTTGGCAGTGCTCAACCTGAGTCCTAAAATGAGGACAGAATTTGAAGGAGAGAATTCAGCATCAGCAAAGAGAAAGAAGCTGTGGATTCATAAGCATTACAGGTCTAGCTCTTACTAGTTTTATGTAGCTTAAATAGGTTTGCAGGCTGTCTGCACACTAGGATGTAGCTCAGTAGTGCAGCGCTTGTTGGCATGTGAAAGGCTGTAGGCTCAACACAGAACAATGATAAACCAAATTATTAGGCACACAGATTCATCAGGAAGACCACAGGGTTAGATATCACAGCTGTTAAGAATTTCAGGGCTGGGGATTTAGCTCAGTGGTTTCACCATGTGCCTTGTAGGCGCACGCAAGGGCCTGAGTTCGATCACTGGTACCCCCAAAAAATCAAAATCAGGGCTGAGAATGGAGCTCAGTGGTAGTGCTTGCCTAGCATGAGGCCCTAGGTTCAATTCCAGTACGGCACACAAGAATACAAAATTATACCAAAGTTTCAACGACTTACACTCTAAGCATGGTTATTTGACTAGTATTCATCAAGAATAGTTTTGTTTTTATATCTTTTTTTTTGGGGGGGGGTACCGGGGATCAAACTCGGGTCCTTGTGCTTGTGAGGCAGGCAGCGGAACCACTGAGCTAAATCCCCGGCCTGCTTTTATATCTTATTTCTGGGCACCGGATTTTTTTCCCCCGGTACCGGAGATCTCACTCAGGTCCTCGTGCTTGCAAGGCAGTAATGGCATCAGAGCTAAATCTCTGGCCCCATTCCCCGCTTTTATGTTGAGGCAGAGCCTCATTAAATTGCCCAAGTTGGTCTTGACCCTCCTTCAGCTTAATAGCTGGGATTACATACAGCATGGATGGCTTTATTATTACTGTACTTATGGAGAATTTAGAAAAAAACCTAACAAGGACAGCTTACCCACGCCGTTCCACCATAGTAATTCTAAAACAAAGGAATGCAAGCAATGAGATTAAGCAGGCAATTTTTATTATCAAATGTAACAATTCTACAAAACTCAGTAGTGTAGCAGTATTACTGCCTATCAGTCTTTCAGAGCTTTGGGCAGAGAGCATCTTAAGAGCTACTCGCGGCCTGCTTTTATATCTTATTTCTGGGCACCGGATTTTTTTCCCCCGGTACCGGAGATCGAACTCAGGTCCTCGTGCTTGCAAGGCAGTAATGGCATCAGAGCTAAATCTCTGGCCCCATTCCCCGCTTTTATGTTGAGGCAGAGCCTCATTAAATTGCCCAAGTTGGTCTTGACCCTCCTTCAGCTTAATAGCTGGGATTACATACAGCATGGATGGCTTTATTATTACTGTACTTATGGAGAATTTAGAAAAAAACCTAACAAGGACAGCTTACCCACGCCGTTCCACCATAGTAATTCTAAAACAAAGGAATGCAAGCAATGAGATTAAGCAGGCAATTTTTATTATCAAATGTAACAATTCTACAAAACTCAGTAGTGTAGCAGTATTACTGCCTATCAGTCTTTCAGAGCTTTGGGCAGAGAGCATCTTAAGGCATAAAGTACCAAGAATTTTCTTTGTGATCTTAAGTGCCAGTTCTCACCAATTTTCACACACAGATGTTTTTCCCTATTGCAGTTACAGGGTCCCTGCTGGTCAGTAGAGGGTACTGTTTGGCTCTTCATTCAAGGTGTTGATCCAAGTAATGCAAAGTAAAAATAGCAGCCACAAAAATCTGCATGGCATTGGATCCAAGCAAAGGACAATATGAGTAACAAAGATGCATGTGCACTGAATCAAATCCTGTCTTCCTTTTTGGAGTTACACGAGGCAGCAGAACTAGTTAGCGAGTGTCTAATATTGCACTTTTGTAGCACAAACATAGCTAACCACAGTGCTAAACACTGAAGGCATCAGTACCTGCTTACTGCATCAGTGTTTAACCCTCAGTCTAGCATGCTGACTACAGTCCTATGCATTGGAAAATTTTAATTATTTGACAATGAAGACATTACAGAAAAAGGTTTAAGTCTATTTTAATATATACAAGCATTTACTTTAGTATAGTTAGTATGTTGCTTTCCAGAATACACTGTTCAAATTGTCTTATTTTGGTTGTATTAAAAACTAGTGGATTTCTTTATGAAAGTCCAAGCCATCAAAAAAGAAAAAAGAAGTACAATATGAAACAATACCTATAAAGCCACAATATTCAGTTACAGTTCCAACTAAAATTACTAACTATATGTAGCTGCTTCATTTTTGATTTTGTATTTTTGGCCCCTACTTCATTCTTATTTACAACTGGTACCTGCTGAGAAAAAGATCCCAAACTTAACTATGTATGTGTTGTGGAGGGTGTCCCATTGCGTCCAGTTTATCCTCGGCTGTTGAGTTTTTGTGGTGCTGGGGATGGAAGGCAGGGCTTTGTGCATGACAGGCGAGCACTCTACTACTGAGCTCCACCTCCAGCCTCTCTTAGGTATTTCTAAAACCATCGTAAAGACATCATGATGGCCAAGAGATTGGGAAAATATTGGTTTTCTTTTTCCTTTAAGTTTTTGGAGACAGGGGTCTCACTATGTAGCCCAAGCTGTCCTCGAACTCATGGCGATCTTCCTGCCTCGGCCTCCCTGAATGCTGGGATTATAGGCACATGTCACCATGCCCGCTCTTTTCTTTCTCTTTTGAAATTGTGATTTAAGTAGTCCAAGGCCTAATGCTTGAATTGCTTAGCAAGAGGACATGACCACGCAGAAGAGGGGAGATGGAGGCAAAGGAACAGAAGTACACAAATGGAGCTTCCTCAATAGCCTTCATGGTGGAGACAGTAGACACTAGTGAATTCTTTAATCCGGGACTTTTTAAATTTAGGAAACGTCAATGATGCCACTTTAGCTGGAAGTAATAGAGACATCTGATTTCAAATTCACATTTTAAATGCCTGTTCATAATCAGCAAGGAGCCAGGTACGCTGCATGCTGTTTGCTGAAAGGATTTGGCTTCACTGGCTCAAATTTTTCACTCCACCAAAAGATAAGGCACAGGTCCACTGTCGAATCATGTTTGCTTAAAATACTGCAGCCTGAGTGTAGACAAACTTCCTTTGAAGTTGCTAATTTTCTTGTCGGATGGCTTCGGGATCACCATGCATCTTTCAAACACTGGGGAAAAAATGAATAAAGACTGTTAAAGAATTTTTTTTATGAATAGAGAATGTTGCAGTCTCTACATTTAATTTTTAGTAGCCACAAAATTGATTTCAAATTCCCCAAGGACTAAAACATAAGAAGTACACCCTTTTTTTTTTTTTGGTATTGGGGATCGAACTCGGGACCTTGCACTTATGAGGGAGGTGCTGGAACCACTGAGCTAAATCCTCAGCCCAAGAAAGTACACACTCTTATTGTAGCCAGGCGTAGTAGCTGATATTTACATGGCAAATACCTGAGAAGTAGAGCATTGACAAAAGACAGCTACAGGTGAGTTGGCCCTTCCCACGCCTCCCTACGCTTTGTATTCCTGTGAGTTTAAGGCATCTGACCTTCAGCTCCCCACCCAGCACCTACTGCATGCATTCTTTAGGCTGGGCCCCCAAGGTATCACAGCATTCTTGATAGTAGAGGCTCAGTACAAATACCAAAAAATTTAAAAACAGTTAAAACAACTTTTTAAAATTAAAATTTAGGGTTGGGGATTTAGTTCAGTGGCTCCACACCTGCCTCGCAAGCCAAGTGGGCAAGGTCCTGAGTTTGATCCCAGGTACAAAAAAAAAAAAAATCTAGCATGGGAAGATAAGGCAGGAGGACCTCTGTGAGTTTGAGGCCAGCCTGAACTACCCAGAGAGACCCCTTTTTCCAAATAAATACATAAATAAAATCTAAGAGAACTTTAAAAATAATTTCTAATAAAAACTTTCAAATCAAGCTGGGTGTGATGGCACAAGCTGTATTCCTAGCACTCTGGAGACTGAGGCTGGAGGACCAGGGACCTTACTGTGGATCAACTTATTCCATCCCTACATGTCACCTGTAAGATTATCATCTCATCCTCAGTTCAGACCTGGGGAAAATGAAGCACAAGTCACTACACTAGGACAGTCACCTGTCCATATCTGTAGTTTCTAGGTCTGTGCATTCAGCTAGCTGCTGATAAATATTATTCAGGAAAAAAAAATCTATGTTGAGCATGTAATTTTACCTGTCACATTCCCTAAAATATATAGTTTAACAACTACTTAGATAATATCCACAGTGTTTTAGACAATACAAGTAACAGAGATGATTCCAAGTGTAAGAGAGGACGCACATAGGTTATAAGCAAATACACCGCGTTTTGTAAGGGTCTGGAGCATCTGTGGTTCTGGTACCCCCAGGGCTCTCAGAACCCATTCCTCTCAGCTCTCTAGGGATGACTGTAACAGGCAGATCTAACACTGGAACTAATATGGAGAAGTTCCCCTGTGGTACGTCAGCTTCATACCATACAGAAACCTTACTAGACATTATGCAGACGTGTAAATGAGCAACAAGGATGCAGAAACAGAAATACAAATAACTCTCAGGACTGCAGTCTTATTTCATATGGCTAATTTGAAATATGGCTCAGACTAAATCAGCTTTTAGTCACAGATGCTACAATTGGTACAAATATAAAATTGGATATTTAGAAAGTGTTAACACACTGGCTTGGTAGAATTCAAGTTTAAAATGTACTTTACAAAGCAACCACAATACATTGCACTGAATAGCTTCTTCTTGGATAGGATAAATGCATATAAGAAAATCCATCAATTACTCAACACTGTAGCCCAGTATTACCCTTCTTTTGGCAACAGGGTTGAATTTCCCTTAAAGATCAGATCTGTCCCCTCACCCAATCTGAAGCCCCAAGTGTGGCAATTTTACTACTGAGCTCAGAGCAAGCAGACATAGCCCATCCGCGCCCTGCACTGTCAAGGCTGTGGGGGTTTTCAATTATATTAGCATTGCCAGATAAAATTCAGGACATACTAGTATAAGCGTGTCCCATGCAATCTGGGGGACATACTTATACTAAAAATTGTTATTTATCTGAAACGTTCCTTTAATTGAATATCCTGTTTTTTGGTTTGTTTTGCTAACTTGAGGAACCCTGTTTATAGGGATTGACGCTGAGCCACTGGCACAGCGCGGAGATGTGGAAGGGAAGGTGGAGCTGGGATGAGTGAGCCCCTGGGGCTGGCCAAGTCAACCTGCCCCGGGCCTGTCGCTTACCAGAGGCAGCGTGTCCCACCTTCTGCACCCCTGGACCACCATGTTATACTAGGAAATGTCACCTTCGTAGATGTTGGAAATTATTCCCTCACACTATACTGCAATATGGGAAAGCCCAGAAGTTAAAAAGAAAAGAAAAAAAAAAAAAAAAAAAGAGGAGGAAGAGGGGAAGTTAACGGTTTTAACCTTTTCAGGCCTTCGTTCTGATCTCAGTGGTATTCAGTGGAGCTTTGGTGTTTAGCAATGAAACTGCAGACTTGTAACTGAGCTAAATATTATACACAAACAGGCACATACATACACACATATATGTATGTGTATATATATATATATATATATATGAATATGATATGGAGGAATATTTCCTCTTCCCCTTTAGAGTAAAGCAAACATTACAGGACAATTTTTGTTTTTGTTGTTTTGTTTTCATTTTTTGAGACAGGGTCTCACTATGTAGTCGAGACTGAGACTGACCTGGAACTCACTATGTAGCCCAGGCTGGTCTCACAGCACAGCGATCCTACTGCCTCAGCCTCCCAAGTGCTGGGATTATAGGTGTGCACCACCACACCCGGCTATAAGACAATTTTGAGTTTTTTTTTTTTTTTGGTACCGGGGATTGAACTTGGGTCCTTGCACTTGCAAGGCAGGCCACCGAACTGCTGAGCTAAATCCCCAGCCCTGAAAGTTTTAACTGCAAATAATCACAAATCTGTTTTATTTTGTAATAACTGTCACTAAAATATTGCATACACAGGAGGAGTCACCTAAGACAACTGGATTTCATCAACTGGAACTGTCTTTTGGAATAAACCCTTAAAAATCCTGCAGTTCTGGCTAGCTGTAGTATATCATTATTATTATTTTTTTTTTTTTTGGTACCAGGGATTGAACTCAGGACCTTGAGCTTGTAAAGCAGGCAGCCGAAGTATATTCTTTCCTTTTCTTTTTTTTTTCAGTACCAGGGATAGAACTCAGGACCTTGTGCTTGCAAGGCAGGTGGCAGAACCATTGAGCTAAATCCCTAACCCAGTATATATTATTTTCTCGGTAATTTCCATGTGATTTTCTGAAAACTGTCAGTCATCTGAGTTTAAGTCAAACAGATAATTTTCCCTATATATCAGATAAAACCCATGACTCAGGTTCTTTAATCAAGGAAAGCCTGTTAGTCTTTCTTCTCATTTCAGTCAATAAAATCAGCATTTTATCTATTCTTACTCTCTAATATAAATATTACTGGGGAAGGGGAGAATGTTTAATTTTGAAAGCTATTATTTCTTGTCCAAAAGACTCCTTTTGTTTTTGCAGTATCTGGGACTGAACTCAGGACCTTGAATTTGAGAGGTGGGCACAGTGCCACTGAGCTAAATCCCCAGACCTAAAAGACTCCTTATTTATTTTGGTGGGGGGAGGTCAGAAAAGAAAATATTGAGCCAGGCATGGTGGTGCACGCCTGTAATCCCAGCACTTGGGAGGCTGAGGCAGGAGGATCGCTGTGAGTTCGAGACCAGCCTGGGCTACATAGTGAGTTCATAGTGAGACCCTGTCTCAAAAAACCAAAAAATAAAAATAAAAAGTAGAAAATCTTTTTTGGTTATTTTATTGAATTAAAATATATTGAAAATTATATTATAGAAGCCAGCAATCACTTTCAGTCCATAAAAGTGACTGACACTTGCAGGCAGCAATCTGGAGGCTTAGGCAGGAGGGTTGCTATAAGTTCAAGACCAGCCTGGGCTCCCTAGTGAGTTCAAAGCCAGCCTTAACTATATAGTGAGACCTTGTCTCCCCGCAAAAAAAGTAACCCACACTTTACAATTATAGGAAACTAGGGCTGGGTATTTAGCTCAGTGGTTCTGCCACCTGCCTTGCAAGCACAAGGTCCCAAGTTCGATTACTGGTTAAAAAAAAAAAAAAAAAAAAA